CACGGGCTAGAAATAATTGTTAGGGGTGTCGAGGGGTTCCCTTGGACTGGGGAGTATGTTTGTATTTTACACATTTTCTTGTTTCTTCCGACGCATCCTGATGTATAGTTGGCCAGTAGATACCCATCCGGAGTATTTTTCCGGTTAGGAACCTTGCCCCTTCGTGAGTGCCTGCTAGGCCATAGTGTGTCTTTCAAATCACCTCCTTGCCTTTGGTTTCCTCCGTGCATTTTAGCCATGGTGACATGAATCCCTTTCGGTACAACACTCCGTCCAGGATTTCATACAATGGAGCCTTTATCCGTACCTTTCTGGCTTCCTCATGGCGGTCTGGCAGAATACCGTGTTGTGGGTATTCGATTATCGGTGTCATCCATGTATGCCTGGACGCCGATAATGTGTGCACCCGCCGCTCGTCTATACTCCTTTCTTTAAGTACTTCCAAGAGAATCTAATTGGACAAGTGATCGAAACATGTTGACTCTAGTTTACTGAGGGTGTCCGCTCTTCTGTTTTCTCCTATTGGGATCTATTTGATGGTGAACTCTCTTAAAGGTTCGACGAGCCGTTGTACAGCCTTCACATACTTCTCCATTCGCTTGTCTTTTGTTTCAAATTCTCCATTGATCTGGTTAGCGGCTAACCTTGAATCTGTTAAGGCGACTACCGCTTGTAGGCCCATTTGCTTTGTCAATCATAGGGCGGCTAACAGGGCCTCATACTCGGCTTCGTTGTTGGAAGTATGGAAGTCGAAGTGAAGGACATAGGTGATTTCTTCCCTTTATAGGCTCGTCAAGATCAGGCCTACTCCTGAATCTTCTTTGTTGGATGCTCCATTGGTATACAAAGTCCACTTTTGGGTGTTCGTGGTTGTGTTCGTCCCCATCGATCCCTTTGCCAGAGCTGTGGCCTTCTCCTCGACTGGGATTTCGAGTAGGAAATCCGTCAGTGCTTGACGTTTAATGTCGGTACGTGGGTGGTAACTAATATCATGCTCTCCTAGTTCAATTTCCCACTTTGCTAACTGCCCGGACGTCTCTGGTTTAAGCAATATATGTTTGATTGGACAGTTTGTTAGCATCTCTATTTGGTGTGCTTGAAAGTAGTGTCTTGGGCGCCGTGCTGCATAGACGAGTGCCAACACTAGTTTTTCGAGCATGGGGTAGTTGATTTCTGGACCTTGTAGTGCTCGGATGACAAAAGAAACTGGCGCTTTCCTGCCTTCCCTTTCTACAACCAGGACCGAGTAGATGGCTTCCTTCGAGGCTGAGAGATATATTTGCATGGTTTCTCTAGGGACGGGACTGGCCAGCCTAGGTAATTTGTGTCAGGCCTTTTTGATTTTCTTAAGCGTTGCTTCTTCTGCCGTTGTCCACTGGACGTTTCTCTATTCAATGCACCCTTTGAGGGTATGGACGAGTGGCAAAGCCTTTTCTGGTGATTTGGAAATGAAACAGCTCAACGTCGTTAGCTTACCATTCAGTCCCTAGGTGTCTCGCAAGGTGTTCAGGGATGGTACTTCCATGAACTTGTCAAATTTGGTTGGGCTTGGTTGTATCCCTTTTCTAGTAATACAATATCCCAGGAATTGCCCTTCCTCGACACCGAAGGTACACTTGGCTGGATTCAACTTGATCCTGACCTTTTCTAGTGTTTTGAATGTTTCCTCTACATCCTCCAGTAATTTCTTCTCATCGGGGATCTTAATGACCATATCGTGAACGTAAACTTTGATGTTTCTTCCAATTTTTCTGGCAAAAATGGAGTCGACTAGTCGTTGATAGGTTGACCCTACGTGTTTTTGTCCGAACGACATTTTGGTGTAGCAGAAAGCTCATGATTTGTGTAGAAGGTTGTTTTCTCATCGTCTTCCTTACTCATCGGGATTTGATGGTATCCATTGTATGCGTCTAAGAAGCATTTTTGCTTGAAGCCTTGCAAGGATTTGAATTTTTGGTCGATTTCTGGCAAAGGCTAGTAGTCTTTGGGGCATGCCTTATTCAAATCAGAGTAATCGATGCACATACGCCATGAGCCGTCATGCTTTCTTACCATGATGGGGTTGGCAATCTAGGTCAGGAAAATTGCTTCTCATAGTATCCCTGCCTTGGTTAACTTGGCAACTTCAGCGTTGATTGCCCTATTCATGTCTCCTCCTTGAACCCTCTTCTTCTGCTTGGTTTCCTTGGTTCCTGACTTGATCATAAGCTTGTGCTCTATAAACTTTCTGTCTACCCCTACCATGTCTGTAGGAGTCCAATCAAAGACGTGCATGTACTTCTTCAGGAGGTTGATCAACGCCTGCCTCATGGCCGATGGGAGGTTGCTTCCGATACTGACCGGTTGATCCGGGAATTCTTTATTGATAATTTCTTTGTCGCTTGCCAACTCGACGCACGACTTCTTGTTTTCTTGCACTATTTCTTTTGGCTGCATGATCTCGTAACACTGTAATCTCTTGGTGGTGTTGTAAGGACTATTCTCGGCCCCTCAATGGAGCTGAAGTTTATAATCCCATGCATCATTGATGAGACTGCCCCGAATTTGAGCAGGTTTGTCCTCCCAAGGATTATATTGCACTCTGTCGGGTGCCTTATCACAACAAAATCTATTAGGGTCGTCTTCCTTTTTGCTTTGTCATGGCTAGTCAATGTGAAAGGCAGATGAATTGTGCCTAGAGGCCATTGGTTGTGTCCTCTGAAACCTGTTATCCTCCCCGTTGTGGGTTTGAGGTTTTATTTCCACCTGTCGGGGAGATAGCGGAAGTAGTGTTTGTAGATAATGTATGTCGAGCTGCCCGTGTTGATGTATATTCATTGGATTGCCACATCTTTGATATACCCTTGGATTATAAGTGGGTCATCACCCCGCCATCCCTTTCGGCGAGGGTCTTTTGCTGAGAACGTCAACCCTTGCATGGATCTGGTGAGATTGTCCATGTCATCATGTTTCTCTTGCCTTCCCCGCTTAGAACGTATCATCAGGTTTTCACAAGGTTGATCACGCTCTTTGGCTGCATCTTTTGGCGTTCTCAGTATCAAACTTGGCGTGAAGGCTGCATGCCACCTCTGTGAGGTTCCCTTCCAATTATTTCTCTTCCATCTCCCTTTTTAACACTGAGCAGTTGATAGTGTCATGAGTTTTGCTTTTGTGGTACTCATAGAATCATCCTTTTCCCCCCCTTTTACTGGTTGTTTGTCAGAGACTGCATAAACATCTAGTCACCTGCCCTGCCTTTCATCTCTTGGAAAATGGCCTGAAGCATCCCTGCGGGCGCTTGTCCCGTCCAAAGTGCGTGCCCCACCTTGGGCTTCTGAGTGCGGTGGTGGTGGGCTGTGGCGTTTTGTTGCCGAGGTGGTCATGGCATTCAGGTATGCTTGTTTTGTCTTTTCGCCTTCTTCCTACCTCAGGTAGCGCTCTACTCTATCCTTTAACCCTGTCCATGTCTATGGCTTCTTTCCTATGAGCTTTTGAGACAAGGGTCCCAGAAGGAGTCCCCATGTGAAGGCGCCTGCTATTAAGCCTTCATTGTGGCCTGCGATATCTAGTGTGGCGTTGGTGAACATGGTGAAGTATTCTCTGAATGTTTCCCCTTCCTTCTGTTTGTAGCCAATAAATGAGTGTGAGTCTCCCTTGTATTTATGCAGCTGCGTGAATTTTGTCAGGAATAGGTATTTTAATTGCCCAAAGTTGTATATTCTCCTTGGTTGTAGCGTCTTTAACCATGTTCCTTCATTGTCATCCAAGGTTGTTGGGAAGTACGTACACCAGAATCGCTTGTCTATTTTGAGCGATATCAACGCCCACTCGTATGTGTCAATGTGGATACCAGGATCCATAGTTCCATTTTAGGTTTTTAAGTGTGGCATTTTTTTGTGTTTGGGATTTCGTAATCTAAGAGCTCTTTGGCAAACAGATATGTCACGTTGCACGATAGTCAGTCTTGGTTTGGGATGGGAAGAGCACCCTACGGGTTATACTGTTGGGCAATAGTATGAGGTTGCATAAGCATGTTGTTATATGGTGGGTAATAGCCAGGGCTCAGCCCATAGAACGCTTGGTGTGGGAACGGTACGGTTAACGTATGGGTGGACAGTAGGGGTGTATTTTGTATATGAGGGTTATTGGGCACAACTAGCTGATAATGTGGGATTATGGAGGAGGAAATCTTTGTTGCAAATGAAGGTGTTGGGAAGGTCGTCGCTTGGTTTCTAACCGTCTGATCTAGTAGCGGCATCTGGATGGTCATTGGCATTTCTCCCGGCCTCTGGGTTATTGGCGGTGTCTGAAGGAACATCGATTGTACCCCTACCATATTGCTTGTCGATGGTTTTTTGGAAACCACTGGTGGTGTGCTTGCCATTTGGTTTGGCAATGTTGGTGTCTGGAAGATCACCGGTTGTGCACCTTCCATCTGAATTGGAGGTGGTGGTGTCTATAAAACCAACAGTTGCGCACTTCTCGTCTGATTCTGTGGTGCTGGTGTCTGGAAAACCATTGGTTGTGCGCTTGCCATCTGTTTTGGTGGTGATGGTGTCTAGAAGACCACCGGTTGTGTACCTGCCATCTAACTTGGCATTAGTTTTTGGAAGAGACTCGGTGTGGCGCTAGCATCTTCCAACGTCGGCGACATCGTACTGCTTGGTACCGCTGCTAGTTGGGGTGCTTGTATTAGAGACTCTGCGTTGAAAATGGTGGAAGGAGGTTGTCCTCCATTGATTGGTTGTTTTTGTCATGTTTTGGTGCAATAGATATCGCCGAACTGCCTTCCTTTGACGCTTCATCAACGATTATTGTGGAATTTGGAGTAGTGGTTTGCTCCAGCGACATCATTGATCTAATGGGGCTGGTTGGCATTCCACCAGTCTCTCCTATGTCACCAGACACCATTTTTCACCGATGAGTAATGTGCTTTTAGTTTGTTTTTCATCATACTTCGGATGGCGACAAATGATGTGACCTAGTTCCTGCTCATGGACGTTCTCTGTTCTTAGTAGCTCTGGTGAACCTTCAAGGTTACAACAAGAAAGGGCTGTCACCCATTCTCCAGGAAGGGCTCCCGGGAAAACGCTCCGACAGTAAAGTCAGTGGATTGACTTAGGGCAGTATTGTGGGTAAGGCTGAGAGAGAATCACTTACTTCCCAAGGCACCTGGAGTAGCCTTTTATACTAAACCCTTCTGATGGTCCGTACGGGAGAAGGGCATCTGTAACGACTCAAAAATCACGACTAAAAATTTCTTTTAAAACATTACTAAAACCATATTTATAAAACCGTATCATAAGTCATAACATAATTTTCGAGTATTAATTCAAAACATAATCTCATCATCAGAGTAAAACATTCCCAGGATATATGACTATGGTGTGTGCATTGCAACCTCTCCGAGCTCCTTTTTGAAAACTGACTATCTGAAACCAAAACTGAAAACCGTAAGCACGAAGCTTAGTGAGCTCCCCCAAACTACCACATACCATACAATAACATATAAAGCACATACTGGGCCTTGCCCACTGCATCGGACCGAGGTCCGGACTAATTGGGGCCTTGCCCCCTGCATCGGACCGAAGTCCGAAAACTGACTGGGACCTTGTCCCCTGCATCATACCGAAGTCCGGACTATCTGGGGCCTTGCCCCTGCATCGGACCGAAGTCCGGAAACTGAATGGGACCTTATCCCCTGCATCGGACCAAAGTCCGGACTAACTGGGACCTTGCCCCCTGCATCGGACTGAAGTCCGGAAACTGACTGAACAAAGCATAACATAAACATATCAACTAGCATGAACACACATATACTGCATATTGCATCGGGCCGTAGCCCGGAACACATAACACATAAATCCTGTCTGAGCCACGAAGGGATCAAACATACTAACTACTGCATCGGACCGAAGTCCGGAAACTTTTGCTAGCTAGACGGGCCGACATTGTGGCCTTAGACCCGTTCCTACTGGAAGGAAACTCACCTGAACTGCTGAGCTCTGCTGATACCCTCTGGCTGCTAACCGACAACCTTCTGAGTCACTGCTCCTCTAGCTCTCTGAACTACCACTATCAAAATGATACTTAGCCTGACAGCCCTTCAAAAGTCAACTCTGCTCAAAGTCAAAGTCCTGGCCACAGTCAACCTTCCAAGTTGACCATACTCGTCGAGTCAGCCTACTGACTCGCCGAGTTCATAAGCTCTGAAATCCCTTTCATTCGCGACTTGACTCGCAGAGTCTACTGATTTCCGAGTCCTGACCTATCCACTCACTGGGTCCCCACTCAACTCACTGATTCGAGTCTTAACTCGAAGGGTTTGGGGTTTCGAGACTTGACTCGCCGAGTCCAAGAACAGACTCGCCGAGTCAAAGGAAATCTTCAACAGACTCGCCGAGTTGTTCTTCCAACTCATCAACTGCTACCTAACTTCGTCCAACTCACCGAGTACACCCATGTGACTCGTCGAGTCTCTTCAGTTCTTAATCCATATAGTGGCTTTCGAGCCATGCAGGGGCTCAAATCCATAGATCCATTCCTCTAGAGCCTAACTCCCACATATTGTGGCAAACTTTACGTGTAACCAAGGAGTTATAAGCTTAGAACACTCTAGGGCTAGGGTTTGTAACAAAGGGGCTTCACCAAAAACTTATTGGCCTAAACTTTATGACTTTCTGGGTTATTACCAACCTAGATATGAGGTAGCAACCTTAGATCTACTCCAAACTCGAAATAGATCTCATTCATACTCAAAATGCCCAAAACTCAAACATAAGATAGCTCTAAATGCACATAAGCCCAAACAACAGACTATTACCTCAAATGAAAGCTCCAACTGAAGTAAATCTCGGATCTACACCACTCCTTTGCAGCAAATCCCTTGATCTTCAAGCCCCTCTTCAAGATTCTCTCCTCCAAGGCTCTATTATCTCAAATAATGAAGGCTCACTCAATTCTAGGGTTTCTGGAACTCAAAAGAGGAGCAAAGAGGCTGAGGGTGGGTTATTATGTGCTTTATATAGGGCACAACCTCTGGGATTAGGGTTTTTCTCGCCCAGACCAGACTCGCCGAGTCCACTCGCTGACTCGCCGAGTCGGTCACTTATTTAATGACCCGGATCCCGCTCCGACTCGTCGAGTTCCTCCCTAGACTCGACAAGTTGACTCTTGATTTAGAGCTTAACATTTATTTTCTTGGTCTTCCTGATTATGGGTGTTACAACATCAGACTCGATAGGATCAGGGATGCTGATTGGAGGATCGTTCTCCTTAATCTGTCAGAGCTAACAATTGGTTCAAGTGGTAATGCTCTGGGCAGCTGCCTTGTCACCTGACCTTTATGTTTGTCTCAGAGTTAAAGGCGCCCCAGGCGGGGTCGAGCCTTCCTCCACGGGCGCCCTGCTCTTACGGGCGCTGACGGGCGCGAGGTTCCATCGGGCTTAGTCGGCCGAGCGCGTCATGCCTTAGGGCATTCTCTTGCGTCACTGGGCACGACTCCTTCATGCATGCTAGGGCACATCATCATAATGGAACAAACATGTCTTGGTATTTTCAGTTGATGTTTACATTTGTATATGTGTGGCCTGATTGTTGCACTATTGTGCTAGAATTTTGGATTTTTTGGCCTTTTCAAATTTGCAACGCTTCTATTTGAGATATGCTCTAATGCATTGATGTTTTATATACATGTCATGCTCTAATGCATTGGTATATTTGATATAAGTGCCATGCTCTAATGCATTGGTATATTTGAGGTATGTGCCATGCTATAATGCATTTATATATTTCGTGAAGGCACTAAGGTTTATATTGTGTGTGGATACTCTAGTATCTTAATTGCATTTTAAAGTGTGGATACACTTAGTACCCTCTATGTAATGCATTTTGTTTTTGAATAAGCGCTTGTATTATCGAACACACTAAGGTTTTTATCTTTGAGATACATAAAATTCACCGTCATCATGCTAAGATGTTTAGCATTTCAACACACTAAGGTTCCTAGTCAGACCACACTGAGTGTCTGTTTGCTGGTCCGGGTGATCAATTCGGCCATGATTCACTTTGCGATGTGTGTTACCCTTTCTGCATAGGGGGTTTGCTTAGCGATGGCTCAAGGCATCTTCTAGAAATGGATTTTTTTAAATGCCTTGCGTTCCATGTCCTTGGTATTGGTCACCGCTCGATCGTTTCGAGAGAGTAGGACCCATTGTGATGCATCTCGACCACTTTTTATGGTCATTTCCATGTTGCTCTTAACGTTTCGAGAGAGTAGGACCCATTGGGAGCTTATCTTTCCAGTTACCTTTGTCTTTCCTAGGCCGCTTCTTCATTCCATTTACTAGCATCCGGTTAGACACTTCCATCAGCCCGTTCATCTGAGGGTGTGCCACAGATGTGAATCTTTATTTAATGCCCCTCTCCGTGCACCAGTCTTTAAATGGATTCCCGGAAAACTGTAGGCCATTATCGATGATTATGACTTTGGGTGTCCCGAACCTTGTGATGATGTTTTTCTACAAAAACTCGATCATCTGCCTCCCTGTTATACACGCCAACGATTCTCCCTCTATCCACTTCATGAAATAGTCCACAGTTACGACTAGGAATTTGATTCTACTGGGGGCTTCTAAGAATGGTCCTACAATGTCAATCCCCCATTGGTAGAATGGCCATGGGCTGACAATGCTTGTTAGTGGTACTAGAGGAATGCATTGCACCAGGGAGAAGGCTTGGTATTCTACACATGTAGGAGTGAGTTTGGTGGTGTCTTCGTGGATGTCCGACCAGTAGAGTCCCATTCGGAGTATCTTCCATGTAAGGGCTCTGGCTCCCTCGTGGGCTCCTACCGGGCCGGCATGAGCTTCGTGAAGGGCCTGTGACACCCTATCTATTCATTTGAGCCATGGGGCCGTGTATCCTTTCCTGTATATTACCCCTACAAAGATAGTGTAATGTGGGGCTCATATTCTCGTCTTGCGGTCTTCCACGTGGTCGCCTGGGAGGATGATGTTTTCTAAGTATTCTATGATTGGTGTCATCCAGGTGGGTTGCGTTGTAGATAAGGAGTGGACCCATCATTCATCGATGCTTCCTTCTTTGAGTACTGCTACCAGGACTTCTTTGGATAGGTGGTCAAAGCATGTTGATGCTAGCTTACTCAAGGCGTCGGCGTGCCTATTTCTTCCCCATGTTATTTGTTTGATGTGGAAACTTCTGAGCGAGCTTTTGATCTGCTAAAAAACTTTCACATATCTTTCCATCCTCTTATCCTTCGCTTTGAACTCCCACGTGATTCAGTTAGTGGCCATTCTAGAGTCGGTGAGGGTCGTCGCTTTATCTGCTCCTATCTTTACTGCAAGCCTTAATCCTGCCAGCAAGGCTTCATACTCGGCCTCATTATTGGATGTGTGGAAGTTGAAACATAGAGCGTACGCTCACACCTTCGCCTTTCCATGATCTCTTGAAGTACCTGAAACAATAAACATAAAACTGTAAGCCCGAGGGCTTAGTGAGTTATCCCCAAAATACCAATACCACACTGACAATACCATATCAGTAATAATCAATCAATCAACATGCATACTGGGCCATCGGCCTGACTGGACCGCCTTACCAGGCCTACAGTCTATCTGAATCTATCTCGAGCCTTCGGCATGACTGGTCCGCCACGTGGGCTTAAAGTCTCCCCGGACCACTCATAGGGTATGTTGGCCTTCAGCACAAAGCAGGATCGCCTCAACCAAACCGACAAGCAAATAACCATGTGCATATACTATCATATACTGGCATATACAAACAT